CCCCAAAACCCCAAAACCCCAAAATACTAATTTTTAATAAGAATATTAATAAGAAAATAAATTAATTCAAGTATTTATATTATCTTTGACCTTAGTATCTCATATATTTCATAGTCTTTACTATTATTATTGTTGTTACTATAAACTAGCTTGTTCAAGAACAGCCAGTCCTAGAAATACAGTTTACTTGCATAATGGACACTGAGTGTTTTTCAAAAGCCATTCCTGAATGCACTGAGGATGGTAGATGTGCTTGATGTTGCAGGGCATCACTACCACCTCTTACTCGTTTTAATACTAATCACAGCAGATCGGGCATACATCATCTTCCTTTGGGACTTTACTTATACCAGACTACACACTCTAAATTTCAATTCTAATCTCTTCATTATCACTATGCGGTTAATCACTATCCTAGTTATTCATCTGCTGCATGTAATCTTCAAACTTATAAATAGGGAACTGCTCCTTTAATTCTCTATCAAATTTCTTGAAGTACCTCAGGTTTCTGCGCATATACCTTAGTATCCTGACTCCGAATTTGAAATGAAACACCATTACTAGCATTCTTACAGTATAAAGGTATCCGATCACAACCACTATAAACATGAAGTTAGTCAGGATAGGCAACTCGATATAGCACTGTATCAGAGAATATAAGTCAGTGAAGAACTCTATACTGCCCCATATAGTCAAGCCTAGGTGAGTCAAGTCGATCATTCCAAGTAGTATATATGGCCAGTTTGGTTTATACACGAAAAACAGCAGTTCGCATCTGCCCATGTTTATGTTCTCTCCTGAGAGTCCTCCTCTACGAATGAATAGAAAGATCACCATGCAGGCTATGAAAGAGATCAGATAGAAGATAGCTGAGATCTCAAACCATGCTACTATGTGCTTATTGCATTGATAAGTATATGTGCTTGCTCCTGAGAGTACCAGAGTTAGAAAGCATGTCAGAATAAAGTAAGCTGTGATGTAAGTCGTGCTAATGAATACCAATATGTTAAAGTCTACTCTGATAGTCTCTATCCTACTGCCATTGGGCAAGATCTTGCGAGCCTCGTTATTCTCTACTTCCAAGAATCAATCAGATTTCTTCAGTTTATACTTCTTTTTCTTTTTTTATTCGGTTGGCATTGGCGGGCTCAGCAGATTTTAAGGGGATATTTAATTGGATCTATCCTGCTATTAAGGTTCATTGTAGTCTCAAATTTCTGTCAATTAATACTCTCTTTTTTCTTAATGTCTTTTAAGGAGCTATTCACTTCTTTAAGAGATTTCATAATTATAATCCATAATGCCGTTTTATAAAATCACTTTTAAATTTATTAAAATAGTTCATTTTTAAATTACTTAACATAAAAGAGATCCAGAATTGAGGGGTTTTGGGGTTTTGGGGTTTTGGGGTTTTGGGGTTTTGGGG